CAGCTCGCCTGGCTGGACCGTCCCTAGGTCTCCAGTGCAGGGGATACCTAGAAGGCCAAGCCCTCGAACTCTAAGCTTCAACCCTAACGCCCCAAACCCTACACTGCCGTTTTTGCTCGGGTTTGGGTCCCCCATATCTCGGGGAGGACGACCCGGCGGACTCATCTCGGGGCTGCAGCGCAGCAGCGCAGCCGCTGAGGTTCGACATTTGTTTATCATAGTCATCATTGTCACTATATAGTCTAGTCGGAGTGAAGGTACAGAGAAGTTGAGTGTTAACGGGTTTGGAAGCCAAGGCGACAGCAATGCGGGCTGGCGAAGGTTGTTTTAGCCAGTACCTTTCCATGCCTGATGCCAGGCAGGCTTGAAACCAGGAGACATCGTCCTGAAAATCGACGAACGGAACATCTCCACGGTGTGGCGGCCCTACAAGGCTTTGATAACATTGACCGTATGGTGAGCCTTCGGATCTTTGATTTGGATTCCGCAACGACGGTCCCATCAATTGTTCCAACTTTAAGAGTATCTTCGTACTCAACCTGGCCCAAGGAACGACATTTTTGCGGTCTTGGATGAACACCAGCCCGGGGACGCAATCAAGGCCGTGGCGCTCCTCCATGTGCAGCACCAGTGTGAGAGCAGATCTGTTCACACAGAAGGATCTGCGAGTCCACAGGCTAAGAAAAGTCCAGCGCATGGTGAATTGTTTGGGGCTCGCTGCCTCAAATTCTTTGGACCACCTGACATCGCAAAGAAGCTGGGCTGCTGTGAGCGCAAGCAACATATCGTACATACATAAATACATACATACATACATACATACATACATACATACACATACATGCATGCATGCATGCATACATACATACATACCTACGTACATACATACATACGTACATACATACTTACGTACATACATACATACATACATACATACATATGTACATACATACATACGTACATACATACATTCATTCATACATACATACCTGCCTTCCTGCCTACCTACCTACCTACCTACCTACCTACCTACCTACATCCATGCATGCATGCGTACGTACGTACGTACGCACATGACATACACGTTGCATACATATGTATGTATGTGTGTATATATATATACACATACATACACATACACGTGGTGTTTGCGTGCATAAGTTGCTCCAATGGAGCCGTGACATCGCATGAATGTGAAGGTGAGGTTCCTCCGGCCAGATCGACCCGAGAGCTTGGGTCCGGGACTTGTTGCTGAACGTCAGATCACTCGGCTGGGAGTGGCCGCGAACTAGCTGGGTAAGTCTTGGCTTCGGGGCCCCAGAACAGTGCGTGAGGGCGGCGAAGCAAATAGTGGCTAGATGAAAAGGCCGGTTGCTTGGAAGTGATCACCGTAGGCTCATCTTCGGGCCTGGTAACTTCTCGAGACACCACATCCACTTCTCTCGGGTTTCTCGTTCGAGTCTCCCAAGGAACACTTTAGCTGCTCGGAATGCACTCGCTTAAAGGTGTGGCGATGTCTGACTCGTTGGTTCAAACCGCAGGCTTGCTTTCACTTTTTCTGCCAGTCGGCTGGTTACGCCATGCAAGAAAAGCTCTTTGCAGCTGATGGCACTGGCAAGAAGAGCCTCGATTGCTGGAAGCACAGGCACCTGCCCATGCCCGCAGTGTCCCGTTCAGCATCTTCTCTTAAGTGTCGGAAATTGGCATCTGCATCGGGTGACGGACTTGTCCGTCTGACAATGCCTGTCTATGTTCAGCGTATGAGTTGCGGAAGTATGTGGCATCAAGCCCCTCCCGAGGATTTCCATATGTCCGACCGCGCAGTTTTGTCGAGTAGTTGCCAGAGCTCACCACAAGAAGAGCCCACTTTTTTGGACGATGTAGCGTCCGGAATCATACCATGCACTGTTGCGACTACGGACATCTGAGTTCAGACTGTTTCAGAATGGCACCGAGGAGAAGGAAGAGGAAACGTGCCTGCACCGGTGAGGTCATGGCAGCCAAGGTTGGGGGCTTAGGTTGCAAGCACTCTAGGCCTTTGCGCTTTGTGCATGGGTCCAGGGCTAGGTCGGTCGTTGTAGGGGTTGCAGGTATTCAGGGTTTACTTACATGACACAATTATCAGCGGTGAAAACTAAACAACTTTTTGTCCGGCAACACCAACATCTTGTGAGAGCCAAGCCAAAATATGATGAACCTGTGTGACACCTCCCCTACGCCTGAGCTCCCATCGTACCAGAGCCACAGCTTTGGGAGGATTCAGAGAAGTCATGGATATGGCTCTGGTTAGGGGACCCCGGTGAGAAACGGGGAGGGACTTCCTGGCCCAGAGCCTCTTGAGACACAACTTCTCGTGCGAGGTCGGCGGGGCTGTTGCCTCGAAGCTAAGCACGGAAGCCGGAGCTGTCAGCAACGGTCCCTTGCGTGGGCTGCTCCTGCGGCTCGGCCTGCAGAGTCGGTTGTGAACAGTATCAGACCACTGTCAGAATTTTTGGGCTTGCCAAGATGCCTCCGTCGAACCGAAAGCCCCAAGTCTCAACCCACATCCAAATAGAGCACTACTGTACCAGCCTTGGAGGGGTTTGACACCCAACTTTTGCGTGGAGCTCGCGACTTGCGCCGAAGTTCAAACAGAGAGTTGCCGCGTTCCAAGTGGTCCAAGAGCAAGACTTTGCAAGACTCAACCTTGCACACTGTACTCCGTAAATGCTGTGGACCCTATAACGGAGAGATCGGAGCTTGGACCGGTTAAACCTCGTAGATTCTCGTAGGGACTGTAGCTGATACTGCAAGCTTGTAGTTCAGTAGCTTCTGGCCCTGTGGTTCTGCGTAGGCTGTTGGTCAACTCGAAGTGAAACTTTATGCAAAGAAGCTTCTACTCTCGACCGTATGGCTATGACCTTTCTACAGTTCTCGTTAGCATTGCATTGCTCAAAGAATGAGTGGCTGCGCAGGCACCGATACAATGCTCAAGGAATGACGGGCAATCGTCGGGCAGCTTGTGTTCGGGGTAGTGGTGTGCTCCCGAGAACAAGTAACCATACCACACGCAAAGCTTCTTTTCAGCTTCGAACGTCTTGCACCTTCTTGGTGGCTCTCTTAACCGAAACAGACCAAGAGACGCCTTCTCAGATCCGTTCTTCCCGATGCCGCGGAGCTCGCGGCAGTGCACTCCTGCCTTGGGCACGTGCAGGCAAACCTCACCGTTTTGTTTAAGCATAATGTGCGAATGTCAGCAGTGCGAGTTTTGTACATTATTTTAGACCTTGATGGCGCAAGAATAGTGTATCTAGCCGTTGCGAGTTTTGCTTGGAGGGGTTGTTGTAAACCAAATAGGGCAAACACCTTATTTGGACATGTCCACGTGCAAACATGTACGGACATTTACATTCACGTCGCAGAACAACTCTATGGTGACCCAATATGCACCTTATACTAGCTAGCCCCCTACCACGAAAACGAGAATTGAGCTACAACCGTAACCAAGCAAGATTCGTTTCCTGGGCACATCCCATCTCCCCGTGACTTGGCAGGTTCTGGCTCGACACTTGCTGGGCGAGACTGCTGCAATCGTAGTGCCGGAGCTGCTAATATTAGTCCTTGGCTATGTTCCCATGGTCCGTGTTGGTCACCTTCATCCGTCTTGTCTGCATGAGAATGAAGCCATCAACATACGATTTTGCCGGTCAGCTGTGTGTTCAGCTTTGTCCTCTGTCGCTGCAAACACAACAGAACCAAACCCCCGTTATGTGGGACCATATACCTTTTGAGTCAGGAGGGTCCTGGAACAAAACCCCTAAACCGCTAAACCCTAAATTGCTGAAATCCTCACCCTAAACTCGCTTCTAAGGTGCAAGGCTCCTATGCTCAAGGCTTGGCGCTTCGAGGATCGGACCTGGACGTCGCCGTTATCGAGGCGACGCCGAAGGAGTCGAAACAGAAGGCGACTTGTACAGCCTTTAAAAGTTAGGGTTTAAGGTTTAGGGTTTTAGGGTTTAGAGTTTCGGCTTTAGTTTCAAGTTTGCTGGTGCCTCATGAATCGAAGGCCTTGAGAGTCCAGTTTGCCGGCATAAACCCAAAGCCCGTGCTGAAAAAAGGTTTACAAGGCTTAGTCTAGGTTTTAAGGTTTTAGGTTTTTGGGTTTACGATTTTGGGGTTAAGGTTCAGGGTTTAAGGTTTAGGGTTTGGTGTTCGGCTCCTCAGAGGCCCAAGTGAAAGCTTTACCAGGTTTAGGAGGATCTCTAGGCTGCCTGGGAAATGACGAAGCCGGAGCACCCTATGCAGAATTCGCTTGTTCGTGGGCGCTGCCCTACCTCACATGTTGAATAAGAGAAACAGTCTAAGACTGGCTTGGTGTCTCGCTAGGTCCTTGTGTTTGGCTCTAGCTGTTGATGTGCTGTCCCGTAATCCTGAGGCGAAGCCACAACCACACAGTGTTGGTCGCGACTTTTTTTTGGTTGAGCTTGTGTCGCTTGAACCTGAACCTAGACGGTCCGAGCAGGTGACTGTGAAACTGCTTGGCTTTGCCAAAACAACTTGCTGTTATAAATGTGCTCTATGCATTCCCGGGTGAGCAGCCAGGCGACCAGGTAGATTGATGGCTCGCACCTTCTGTCAGGACACAGTGGATCGAAAGAAAGCACTGGCATGTTTGCGACAGCTAGCAGCTGCGCTCCAGGACCAGGGCCAGCAGATCGGGTCGGAATTCTTACATGCATCTGCCAGTCTTTGAAAGTTCATAGGTTTGGGTGTTTTTGGTTGCCTTGTTCGTGTGAACGACAGCTTCAGTTTTTTCTGCTGCAATCGCATTTGTGCCATCAGATTCCCGGTTGCAGTGTCCGTGTAAGCATTGTTCAGTGTTTGGTTGTTGCGTCGTCAAATAAGTATGTTTGATATGTTATAACCTGTTGGTGATGATAATGATGATGATGATGGCACGCACACCCACATAGGTATGCCCAGGAGGGGGCATGTAGTTCTGGCTCATGGAACCCTTTCAGGAGGCCAAGCTGCCCGATATTCGCATTGCACTACGGATTTTCTCCGCCAAGGTGGGAGATTTTCTTTTTGTTTCTATCATACTTCGGTGTTTCCGTGTGCGTATGCTGATTCCTTGGTTTTGAGAAGTCCGCTTGGGAGCTTTCTTTCTGAGCTGCGCTTCGAGCATTGCTAACGCAAAACCATGAAGCACTACCGTCCCGGACACTTGAGTAGAGAGGCCACCTTATGCAAAATCATGACTCACCAGGTCAACAAACCATCATGCAAGTGCAACACATGCCGCTGACGCTAGTACTTTAAGCCCATGTTGCAGGCGGCGAGACTTGTTACAAGTAGAGGCAGCAACAGTTGGCGAGGTAGTGCTTGTAACACTCGTTGTTGTCGTGGTCTATGTTGAGGGCGAAGTACGCGTCGAAGCAGAAATCGAAGTGCTTGGCAGAGACCCCCCACGAACGAGCAGCTGCATTCGCCAAAAAGTTAGTTTGAGCATATCGAGCGCGAGTGCTAACATGTGTATGTGCACATTTATGTCAGTATGTATGTAGGTACGTACGTACAACTTATTAACGTGCTGATCAAAGCGTTACAAGTGATGCATGGGTGGGAAATAGTGGGTATGCTGCTGCAGGATGCATGTGACTCAAGGGTTTTCGGTTTCTCGACCCCAACTCGCCCTGAGGTACCCGTCCTGCGGCCACTCGTTTTTTCAGCAGTACCTTTTAACACGCAGGTTCAGGAGAGAGAGGGAGACGGAGAGAGAGAGGGAGAGAGAGGAATGCAGAGAGTTTTTCATTCCTTGTTTCCTTCCTAGATCCTGATTGAGTGCAGTGTTTTTTGCCGTGCAACACATAAACTTGGAAAATCCCATGCTGACACAAGGCCGGCTTCACACAAACTCCAACCGAGGCTCCATTGTGGGGCCAAGGGCGGTCGAAACACTTGGGTGGATGTGTCCGTTGGGGGCAGTCTCCTGCGGGGAGCCTGTGACCGCAGCGTCTACGCTATGTCGCTTGGACCTGGACTCGCTACTTTAGGTGCGACTATATGATTGAGGGAACGGCTCTGTCATGAGCACCTAACAGACACAGCCTCAGAGCTTGGCTTGGCTCTCTTGGTAAGATTTCGTGCATTTTATTTTGGAAGTCCGGCCGGGGTGCCCGCGCGTTTGCATAAGGCTCAAACAAGACAAGCTCGGCATTTCGACAGCCTTGCGCCTCGGATTGCATTCTCGCCCCTTTACGCTCCTCTGAGAGGTATGATTTAAACAGTGTTTTAGGAAGGCCAACCCCTTGAGCATAACGGGCGAGATTCGGTGTCATCGTGTGTCCTACGACTGACGGAAGCTCGAGCATGCTTGATGCAGTCCACGTGCATGGCTCGGCCAGCTCAATTCAAGTTGGAACATTCCGGCGCTTTGGAGCGTAGTATAGGCTGCTTGACTTGGAACAGTTCTGTCTTCCTGGCAGCTCCAGGTGCCGCATGGTGAAGCTATGGGCGAAACGGCGGCGGCTTACGAATACTTTAAAGGGAGGCCTCAGCAGCCGCTCACCTGAGTGAGGGGTGCAGAAGCATCAGGGGTTGGCCCACTTGGGACGAATGTTTTGAAACCTATGTTCATCGTCTGCGTTTGACGGTGCATGATGTTGCTCACGATCAGTGCACACTTGAGCGTTGGATTTGCGCGACCATGACACGAGCCCTTGAATGTGAAGGTGTCGCGCAAGAGACTTGACATGTGTTTGCGTAGTTGCACGCCACCGATGGCTACAGGAATCCGTTAGCTCTGCGAGAGGGGCGACATCTTGATGATCTCAGCTCTTTTCCAAGATGAACCGCTGTGTCTACGTAGGCATTCAGGCAGACGGCCAGGTGTGTAACTTATGATTGTGGGTAGGGGTGGAACTCCGACCGTTAATGGAGCCCGCACATTCTTCAACTCTTGTTTGCTCTGTGTAGAGCTTGACTCAATACATCAGACAGGGTTGTGTTTTGTTGCTCCAGCCGCTGTGCCCTGCGATTTGCCTTGATTTCATAATGTCCCGAAGCAGCTTATAACCATCATCTCGCTCTGCAGAACAGAGCCGGCTTCTGTGGTTTGAACTCTTGCACAAGATCAGCTTCGTGGCAAGCAAGGCTTCTCCTTCGTTCTATTGACCATCTTCTTCCTGCAGCAGGGAGGGGAGGCCAATGCCGCAGGGCAACCGCACAGCCTGCCTCCACAGAGCCTCAGCTCCATATAGTACCGCAATCACAGTTATTTTTTTGCGTTTGTTTTGTTTGTTGGTTTACGATGTGTGTATATATATAGAGAGAGAGAGAGAGAGAGTGCGAAAGTACACTGTTCCAGAATGAGCACCAAACTACCCTAAAGTAAGTCGTGCACAAGCTCACTCAGCTGAGACACCAAAGTAGCCCTGAAGTTCAGATGCGCCTTTCTCTGCGAGGGCAAAGTGTCTTGAGCCACCAA